TTTTTTAATTGTAAAATATATTTGCTTTAATTATAAGCTAATATTTTATAGGACCTGCTAATTCTTCTTGAGCCCATATACCACGTAACTATAATGCTGTCTTCGTCCACACTTCCTACCCAAGGTGACTTGCATATGATATTCTGTGGCCTTATTATACACTTAAATAATAGTGAAAATCCAGAAATTAATTCACAATATACCGTAGCTAGTGCAATGAAAGGAAAATTTACATCATACTGGGCTCACCTAAGTGAATCTTCAACAATTTCAGGCCTTCTTGATCTCTGCAATAAACTTTCAACCTTTGATATTTATGAACGTAAACAAGCTATTAATAAACTTCACGAATTGTACAAAAGTATAAACCAATTAAAGAAAATAAGCCACTTTCACCTTCCACTACTACTAAATCAACACGTGTACTTTTTTGTAATCTTAGCCAAAACCGCCAGACTGACCTGAATTAATGTGAAATTGACAAGTACTTGACCGAGATTGAAACTGAAGCCGAACCACTTCTTTGGTGGAAGGCAAATGCTGCCTTATTCTCGACTCTCTCCCATCTTGCAATGGACTTCCTTGCTATGCAAGCAACCAGCGTGCCAAGTGAGCAAGCTTTCTCGGTTGCCAAGCACACGATTAGTCTTACCCGAAATCACATAAGCCCTAAAGTAGCTCATGTGTTCTTGTGTTTGAAAAGTTGATATAGAGAACTAGGTGATCTATTAAATAAAGAGGCAAATTATATTAGTGCTTAAAATAAAGTTTTTTTTTCTTTTCGGTCTTATAAATTTATTTTTTTATATAAATAAAATAAATATTGGAAATATGAATGTTGGCAACGGTAAAGTTTTTTATGTCTAATGATAAATTATCAATTTGATTGGATAAACTTATGTGGAGGATTGTAATTCAGAACCCAGTCTGGGATCGATCAACTATCATTTTTTTGGATCGAGTCTAGGACCGTTGTTTCAGGTCCTAGGACCAGACTGGACCAGATTCGCAATTTAATATCCCTAGTCCGCTTTTCTGCGATCACTTAACATTAAAATATCAGTTCGAATGTGCGATAAAAACTTGACCGGCTTTAATAATCAATGGCCAGCATTAAATTTTATGCAGTGTTACCTTAATGCTATAATTACTTCCCCAACGTCGATTTTAGTTAACGTTAACCAATTTTACAATAACCAGGACCCTTTTCCTTACTTTATACGATCCCGCGATAAGAATGGAACTTAAAAAGATTATAAGGATAATACGTATAATGTTCTTAATCAGTAGTTTGGTCCAAATTCATATGTTGCAGAAACTTGAAATCTCCGCCATCTCCGAGATCATCAGATCTAAACCCACCTTAAGCGATCATCGAATCTAAGGGGTTTAATTTTACCAGAAAAAATAACAAAATAGGCTCAGTGTTTGAAACTTATAACCGATCGGAGTTGCTTTTTGGAGAAAAAACTGGCATTAGACTTGGGTAACATTAATACTAATATATTTTTTTCTGGTTATTTTTTAGATCTAGTAGAATGAACGGTATAAAAATGAGCAAATTTCCACCTTAAGATAAGTTAGCAATAATGTTATTTTTGCTTATATTTTTTACTTGATTCACTTGCTGAAATTTTTTTAAAAAAATAATGTTTTTGCCATTTAATAGTCTATGAAAATGATTTTTTACTTACTATATTTTTGTATTTAGGGACATAAAATGAGCAGTACTGACAATACCACTACCCCCAAGACTAATGAACCCAACCCTAAGGCTAATGAATATATTGATCTTAATTGTCTCATCACACTCTGTTTACCATATCATTTTTTTAAAATCAAAGTTTTTAATGGAAATAGTGTTGAAATATTAGAAACTCAAGTTCAAGCCCGTTTGTCCCTATTACTATCTGGTGCAACAAGTACACCTCGCCGGCTTTTTAGATTTTACTCCACCCAAGGAGGATATGTAAATATACAGTCAGAGATTTTACCAAAAATAGACAATATTGATCGTACCTTATATGGGGGTCCGTTAAAGCCAGGTGTGTTTGGTATAAACTTGGAAATAATCTACATATTGCATAAATTATCTTCTTGATATTTACATAAACCACTAACCATTA